GCAGTCAGCTTTGGTAAGCAGATGTGAAGAACAAACTCTACACGGAATCTTCGGTGAAATCTTTCACGTTCTCATCATGCCAAACGTAGTAACAAGCTGGGCCATCTGTAAGGATCGGGAGATGCTTCCGTCTGCCTGTGCCTCTGACAAATGCCTCGAATGTAATCACAGATTTCGTGCAAAGCACTCAGGCTCGTCATCTGGTGTCTTCACAGGTCGGCATCATGTTTGCTAAACACCGGGTCCAACGACGCTTCACAGCACCCAATACAATCACAAATCTGCATGGCGTAGCGAAGCCTCTTCAAATATGCAAGCTTCACCCATCAAGCTCCGGTGACGCACGGGAAAGTCCAACTCAGCCTCTGACAAATGCCTCGATCGTAATCATGAGCTTTGTGCACAGCACTCAGGCTCGTCATCTTGTGTCATCACCGGCATGCAGGTCACACGATGCCCGTAAGCACTGCCAAACGACCGAATAACGTCCCGGATGCGTTCGTTCGATGCATGGCAGTCATGTGTGGCACGATGCGAACCTAGTTCTTTGCTCCCAGTCATTCCCTTTCAGCCACGGCCTGCTCAAACTGGCCCTCGTACAGTTGTCGTTGCGAGAGCAGGTAGATGTGGAAGGCCTGATGGAAGCGGCTGCGCAACTTACAACAAAGGCCTTGGTTATGCTGCAGTTTACCGATCTTGTTACTTTCTGTTGCTACGGCAGAGATGCCGGGCACCCAGTGCTTGGAATTCTGTTCGCAAGCTCCCAAGTTCCGTCAACACTCCTCACATCTCCCACACCCCATTAGGTCGCTCTCAAATAATCTACAAGCATTTATGCAGTCAACACTTCCCAGCGCTGCAAGACGGACGACGACCACCACTACCGCAGCAACATGACGACACATGCACAAAGGAAAAGGCCTCAGAGACCGCAACAACAACAAAAGCAACAGCCACCAGCACCGCGAAAGCGACTGTGACACCAACCAAAACAACCACGGTGGTGGCGAGAACAAACAAAGCAAGAAGGGCTGAAAAGGATGAGAATGAGGACAACACAACATGAACACATAAACTATAGATATGAAAGAATGTGCGTAGCAAGGCGAAAACGTATTGAACATCACATCCTCGTCATCGTCATAATCATAATCATGGTAATACTGCACAGACACTTTCAGAGGTCCTTGGAGGCAGAAGCATGGTCGAAGTGTGAGTCGTGGCAGGAGGGAACTGCAGACTCACATCCCGCAGAGTAGGAGGAGAAGGCCCCGGCCCAGGATGCGGCTAAGCCGCCCCCCCGGCTTGGTCGGAGAGACATAGTCAAACCGCCCAGCTCCAAAAACAGAAGGCATGGCAACTGCGACAACAAATGCTGCCATGGGGATAAGCAACTGGTAGCCAAACGAAGTCGCTGCGAAACAAAAGCAATAGCGCTGCATTTGAAACCCTGGCCCCTCTCAAGAGCAGTATGCATCAAGACAACGAAGACTGTTAGAGAATTAGCAACAACGATACCGACAACAAGCGCAATGATAGTGCGCAGTAGCCGGAGACCCAAGAACAGCAAGACAAGAGTGACTACCATACTACTGCAAATACTGTTCAAGCATACTGGTAGCAGCAAACACACAATAAACGCAACCCAGAATCTTAAAGTCTTAAATCAAAGCGAGCCATTAATCACAGATACTTACGAAAGCAACGGCAGGCAGAATCATCGAAACCGCTGCGAAGAGGACAAGGGTAGGAACAAGAAGAAGAAAGCAAAAAACACATGAATTTGCTGACCAATAAAATAATCACAATTGCCATCTTCGTCACCATTATAACAGTACTTTTCTCATTCTTCAATATGGATGCTGTTGAAGTGTTAAATTCCTGTTCGTCAACGATGCCGCAACAATACCAAAACCGATAATACCGATGACGACGATGACGATGACGATGACGATGACGACGATGACGATGAGGATGACGATGATGATGACGATGATGATGATGATGATGATGATGACAAGCTTGACGTTTTTTTCAATCCTGCCGCCATCTGCCTCGCAACCGCGCCAAGGGCTCTCCAAGGCACGATCACTGGAGACGCTCTGGTCCTTCGCAATTGCTCACAATTTGCTTCAACTCAGTGGAGGACAACTGAGCTCAGAATCCATGTTTAGCTTCGAGGGCCTTCGGCGTCTTTGAGTCTTTCAGAACGACAAATGTCGCAGGATCGTATGTGTACACCTTTTACGGCTTGTCAATTTGGCCCACCTGGGTGACCAACGACTGCAGTGTCTGTGCGGTCGTCATCGTGCCCTGAGTGGCACCTGGCACTGTATCTCTGCGTAGTTCGACTCAAGTCACAAGTCAAATCAGCACGGTGAGCCTGTCATCTGGGCATCCAAAGTCTTGTTTTTGAACCTCGAGACCGGTCCCGAGACTGACAGGTCGCACCACAGGAACGAAGCAGTAGTTTGTCAGCATTCCACTCTGAATCTCACATCTCAGGGCCTACATTGCTAAGGAAGGCGCTTCTCCACCTCCAAGGCTGCCAGCAAATACAACCTCAGTGGTGAGCTTCTGACACATGCTCCAAATTCCATGTCCCTTTGTGCTGCTGCGTCTGCTTGACGACATGCCCGGAAGCACTGCGCCAAGTTTTGCTGAGCCACTTCTTTATACGGTCAGGATGTCGTTGAACACCACCTGCAACTGACTGAGCACCGGCAGAGGTTGAAGGACAGAAGATCTACGAAGTGCACAGCTGCACGGCTGAAGCTTGCTGCGGTCACCCAGCCCTGTTGACACCATGTCGTGCTCTCTACATAACTTTCATCTTCTGGCAAGACAGCGCTTTTCCTCTCGCATCACCACTTCGTGAAAACCGCTTTGAGCAGCGGCAGCAGGTCACGATGCTGGATGATGTCGTTGTGCGCGCATGGGAAGCTGTGCAACCTTCGGCGGCAAGTCGTAAGTTTCGCATCTTATGGAGTCGAAACTAGACTCACTAGACACGACGGGGAAGGGTTCTAGGATACTTGTGGAGATTGGTAAGATAAATGGCAGCCGTGGCTCGGCACGTTGCCGATCTTGGAGAGCTCCCTGGCGGACGTAGTGCAAAACGATTGCAACAAAGACCACACTAAGCCTTCCTACCATTCTTCACAGCACTGCTCTGTCAGGAGTGGTGCACTTGCGAAGGCCTGCCATGACTGTGGGGAACCTTCCAGTCCTTCGTTCCGTGGAGAATGAGCACCTTAGCAGTCGGCACGGTACGAAGATGCGTGTGAGAAGAGGGCGACGAAAGCAAGGCCAACAACTGCGAGCCTTTAGCGGCGAGTCGGGGCGAGTGTCGAACTGTCGAACGTGTGCTGACAGTCGAAACACAGGCGCGCTGGCGTTGTGCAGCTCGGAGAGCCCCCGCACGCAAGTCGCAAAAGTAGTCTGAGGGTACGATGCCACCACCAAGGTCCGAGTGCCGAGATGGGAAAGCCACGATGAAGAGCAAAGTGGGCGGGGGCCAAGACAGCGCAATGAGCCGGTTCGTTACTTGGTTGCTTATACCGAAAACTTGAACAGCATCAGAGATATCAGAGGATCTTTGGCGGAAGATGGTGGAGCATCACGAGCATCAGTAAACGGGCCATGCCGCGTTGAAATCAGAAAGGCTACAACTTCCGGCTCTGGGCATCGGCCTCCCACAAAGGACTAACAGCGGAGGCACATGTGCGACACCCCGTGATACTCAGTGCCATGTGGGTTATCAAGTGACCGCAAAGCTGAGACTCAGACATTCGTTCCTGCAGCTACTTCGCGGATTCGGCCAGCGGAATTAAATTGGAGTCCGTGCCAACCCCGAACCCAAGCCTCCAGACCTGGGCAACTGTCGAAGCGGCGAAGCTCTGAGAAAACGAAGATTCGAACAACGTGCCTTCTCGGAGTCTTGGCCACGGCCGGGGAAGTGCCGCCTCAAGCAGCGACCCGGCCGCAGCTGCAAGAGAGAGGAACGGTGCCTGCGCAGCGCAGACTGGGGCGACTCATCAGCACATATCAGCACATTCAGCACAAAACACCTGGGCCGCATGGCCTCCAGAACCACGCCTCCGAAGTGGAAGCCCTCTTTGAGCAAAGCTTCTGCAGATACCAATGCGATGCCAGTCCCCAGGCCTTCCGAGACCGCTTCAACCCCGAAAGCTCCAACTGTTCTTGCTGCCCTGCCCTGCTCATCTCATCACAGGCATGGTCTGCTTGCCACCAAGCATCTGTGGCCCCACAGTATGACCTCCCGGCAATCGCTCACGATCCAACGAGAGCAATTGCCTGAAACCCCGGATCTGCACGAGTGTCAGCGGCCATCCCAGTCCGGGTCCTTGTCCCGCTCTGCTTGCGGCAATGACTGCAGGACTGCCCGGACATCCGCCACGGCGCTGGCCTCCGATCTAGAACTGCACTGAACAAAGCGGCTCGTCATTTTGGAGATCAAGTCGCAGAAGAGCTGCAGGAAACGCTTCGGCGTCACTTACTTGACGGGAGCGTGTGCCGCGTGCAGGCCCACCTCTGAGGGCCAGCAGAAGTCGGAATAGCCACAGCTACAGTAGTCGATGGCGATCACCTGCACCACTGATGTCTGTCATAGCTTGACTTGACTGTCGGGGAAGTGACTCTACAACTCCGAAACGAGAATCATCAACCGCAGCATCATCATGCGGGCTGTATACCCAAGACCACGCGCCTCACATCCGAGTCGCGATGCAAGAAGCTTGTACAGCTCAACCCGATGTTGCACAACCACGTTGCCTGCCTGCCTCAGCTGGGGAACCTATGAGCACCTCACACTGATCAGCTTGCAACTGACAGCTTGATGTACTTGTAGCTGCTGAGCGTCCCGTGCAAGTACACCACAGTGTTTGCCTTCTCTGATGTTGGGGACAAGCGCAGCCCGGAAATCATGCCATTCTCGCTCGTGATGTTTAGAGGCACGGCATTGTCAAGACCTGTTGACAGATGCTGCTGGTGTATGGGGCCGCACCAGTTTGTGAAGTAAAAAGTTTCTTCCCAGCACCCTAAGCCGTAGACTCAGACTGTTTCAGCTTGCACCTTGAAATGGGGCGCTTGTTTCGGAGTTGAAGAGGCCCAGAAGCCGCGTAAGCAGCTGCACCCAGAGTGGCGAGCGCCTGCAGATGAGTGTTTCTCTTCAATGCTTGAAACCGGTCTTCCCGGCTTCCAACTGCAAGTCTGCTGCCTGGACAAGTCAGTCTTGTCGTAAGGCGGCCAGTTGGCAATGAAGCCGAAGACGACGGCAGACCGCACGCCGGCAGACAACCATGTTGCCAGCACCTGCTTGGCAGAAAAGCTTTTCTACTTTTCTTCCAGCCCCTGAGGTGGCTCTGAAGCTTCCTTAGGTAGCCCTGCTGCCTCTACGGAACCACAGCCGCCGCCTCATGTCTTGCCGAGCTGCAAGCAGAGGCAGCAGACTCACGATCCCCACAGCCAAGGCCAAGCACAGGCCAAGTACCATGCGTTGCTCAGCCGCCGGCTGATGAAACAAGCTTCGGGGAAGTGTGAGCGAAAAATCACCACTTCCGTGACTTTTTGTTCATGTGCTTGATTCTATCAACAGTGGCTGGAGTTTGCGAATGCAGCAAGCTGCTCCAAACTGAAGAAAAGCTGCAGACGAAGTGCCATGAGGTGTGCGGAACTCCTGGAAGCCTTCCTTACCAACAGATGCCAAGATGGCACAATGTCAGTGCTTTTACTTTCTTTCCTGTGGCTTCCCGCCGTCCGTGTGTGTGCGTGTGTCTCTGCGCATTTCTGCGACAGACTTCTGGCATAGGCGTCAGGGGGGTGGGATGAGAGCCAGGCCTGGCATCTCCCTGGCCATTTGGTTCAGCAGCTTCGCGGCCTGGAATCAGCTCGAGAATTGGACCGCTACACTACACTGCTTCACCTTGGCAAAGTTCTTGGCTCAAGTCGTAGAGCCCAAATCTGGGGTGGCAAAGAATTGGCCAAACTCGCAAGTGAGGGCCTCCGTGTGGCGGCTTGCCTTCCGGTAAAGCTGCACTGCCTGGCACGGCCACAGATTCGACCGGGTGTCTTGGAATTTGGCCGATTTCAGCTCTGAGAGCGCCACAACCAAAAGCTTGAATGTCACCTATTCCTGACCTACAAACGCACCTGACACAGAGCCAGCAAGCCTCGATCTTCTTGTTTTTGTCAAGAAGATGCTGCGCGTACTTTGCCAGGAGACCTCCCAATGACTCAACCCAAGATTCATGGATCTGAAGAATTCGTGGGCTACATCCTCCTTTACGGTGCTTTCGTGCCAAGGCTCCTTTCGTTGGAACTTACTGAGTTATGGCAGAGACACCCGGCAGGCTCGCTTTGCTTCAACTGTGCTCGGCCAGACCATGCACCGCAGGTGTGGAGGAGAGTGAAAGGGGCCTTCGATCTGCTGGAAATTGTGCTGCTGCGCGAGGTTCACCGCCAGCTCCCACTGGTTCAGCAGGACACACCTTGGAGGCAAATACATCTAATGACCGCTGTGGCAACTGAGCTCAGGATGGGATGGAGCAGGTTACTTGAAAGGTCGGGATAGAAGCAACGAAGCAAAGCTGGAAGCCACGCAGGACAGGAATTCGTTTCCAAAACTACTAGAGGCCCGAGCGTGTCAACCGCCGTCTTGACGTCACCGTGCCGCAGATAGGCCTGGACGGCCTGACGAGACAGGCCCCGATAAGCTTGGTCGGCCCTGGGCTTTGGGCCCTTGGAAAACCCCAGGTCCCCCCAGGTCCCCAGGTCCTGCTCGCAAAGGCCCACGGAGCTGAACTTGTTGCCCACCTCCGTCAGCAGCGGGCTGCCTTCCGCAGCATCGGAAACAGTTTTCTGGCATCAGACTCAAGGCCTCAGGGCTTGGAACATGGTGAGCAGCATGTGACCGAAAGGAAAAGATCAGGCTTTCGGACTACGGGCATGTCATACATGTGTATAATAAAAACTTACAACACATCCATCCTTCCTTCCTTTCCTTCCTTCCCGGTACATTCCATCTAACTAACCATCTATCCAGTTATCCATCTATCCATCCATCGATCGATCTAAATCTCTATCGACCTATAGTTTTATATATATATATATATATATATTATGTATATATATATATATATATATATGTATATGTCTATAACTACTTGTCTATCTACCTACCTACCTATCGATCTAGCTACCAATCCATCCGTCTGTCTGTCTGTCTAACTATGTGTCTACCTATGTGTCTGCCTATCTGTCTATCTATCTACCTCCCTCCCTCTCTCCGTCCCTCCCTCCCTCCCTCCCTCCCTCCCTACCGGCCTACCAGTTATCTATATAAAGTATAGATCCATCGATCTGTCTATCGATCGATCTTCCTATAGAACTACCTGGTCTGTCGAACAATAGAACTATCTATCTACCTATTTATCGATCCATCGATCTGCCGATCTATCGATCTTTCGACGTATCGACACACCGATCTATCGGTCCATCGATCTATCGACATGCCGATCTATCGGTCTATGATAGCGCGTCTATCGATCTCACGATCTATCGAGCGATCGGCGTATCTATCTCTATCTATCTATCTACCTATCTATCTATCGATCTTTCGATCTATATTCGTTTCTGAAAACACTGCAAGAGGCCACTGGTCGTGCTGTCTGGCACGTTACCCTTGTCCATCTCTCCTGCTTTCGCCGGGTCTAGAGGGAATGCCCCTTGCTCCCACATTAACATCGAGGAGCTCTGAAATCCAGAATTTCAACTTCGGAGAGAGCCCACGCACTCACGCAGACGCAGGGCAGTGTTCCATTCCAGCCTTCCGGCAGCTGCGGAATGAGTCTCTCCAAGGAGTCATAATCCTATAGGCGAGCAGTTGCAAGTGCTCCCAGCTTTCAAGTGCAGCATCCGGAAGAGATGAGATGTGGCTTGCGCTGGGTCTTATGTCCGGCTCCTCCAAGAAATAGTAGGTGTCCACCAGAGCAGCGTTGTTCCCCGCCTGCATGCGGTGCTATGAAAGCTTTCTCGCAGTTCGTGCGCTTACCTCGCCTTGGCGTAGTAATTGGCCGCGTTGGGCCACCTCAGACCATCCAATTGCCAAAGCGACATCGATTGCTTTCCCAAAGAATTTACCTCTTTCTCTTCGGGTGACTTGCAACGGTCCGCGTAGTAGTCGCCGATAGCGCTCCATGCTTGGTGAAGCAGCTCCTGGCCAAATGATTCAGTGGGCTTAAGGGGCTTTACGAGCGGCAAGGCAACGTCCTCGTTGGCACCGTGCGCCAACTGAATGACTCGGAACCAGTCACCCAAGCGCACACGAAGGTCGATCGCGAGGTCCTATGTCAGGGCCACTGGACGGTGGAACAGTGAAACCGTAGGCCACGAGTTCACATTCTGAGTGACATCCCGACGGAGCCCTGGCCTTGCGGTCGATTTCCCTGTACAAGCTCTCGGCCTCATCGAACCGTTGAAAGTATGCCGCGACCTCGCGGGTGGCAATTTCACTGCACCTGTGGGCATGCCTTCTTCTCGGTGACCTACATTGCCTAATCTCGCACTCCTACTGATTCCTACTGCTCCACTGCTTCACATCTTCGATCGTCCACCAGACCGTGTCTCTGCCACGCCCGCCTCGGCCTTCTGCTTGACCCGGTCGTCCTGCCAGTTCTGACATTGGAAGCTGCCGCAAAACCGTGCATGGCACAGGAGACATCAGATGTCCAGAAGGCGGAGGCGCTTGACGAGCTGGATGCCCTCAGTTTCGCCAAGACTTGAAGTCGGGAAGTACAGCAGCGTCGCTCGTGCTGAATCCCCCTTTCTGTCTGCTTTGGCCCTGGCCTGGTAATCCTCGAAGCGCACGAAGGCCTTTTCGGCCACCCCGAACTCGAGCTGCTCCAGAGCCGCCTCTGCTAGCAGCCTGCAGAGCGGACGCAACCCAGATCTGCTAGGCCTCGACCAATCCTGAGAAAGCCTTTCATGCTGAGACGAACCGCACGGTCTGTCGTCTTCTTGTCCTTCTCCCGTTCCGCATAGCTCTCTTCGCTCTGATGGCACGCGTTTTCTTGCAGCAGGACTTCCTCATCGGGTGGACCGACCTTGCCCTAAGCTAGGCAAGAAGAACGCCCAAAACATCGTGACATCCCACTTCTGCATCCAATCTGAGCTGGTGTTCTGAGGCCCACCCGAGGCCAACCCGCCAGAGTCCCAGAAGCAATCGTCTCGCAGAGGTCGAGGAGCCCGGATGACTACGCCAAGACTGTCCGGTCCGGCCATGTTCTAGTCATCTGATATTTCACGAGTGGGAAACATGCGGGCCCTCACATTAAACATGAGACTCTTGCAGTCGCATCCGAAAGTCTGCCAGCATCCACAAGACATCCTTCTTTGCAACAGGTAGGATGTGCAATGAGGTGCTACTCGGCAACATACGATTCACCTGACAACACCAAGAAAGGCAAGGATGTCTCTGTTGTTTCTTGGCTGCTGCAGCTCAGGGAAATAAAAAAAGGTGCGCCATGCGTGGCCAGCACAGGGATTCAAATTTGTTGAAAGTTCTGCCATCGTAATTCGGAACAGGCACCAAGGCCCCAAGGAGCACTGAACACCAACTGCAAACTTCATGACATACAGGCAAGCCCTGCGTGATTCTCATCTGAAACAGCTGCCTGTGGCCCTTTAATTGCATGCATTTCGGGGCTTCTCCGCCCTATGCATGGGAACGGGAGGATCACAGAAGTCTTCACCACAGACCTGGCAACACGGCACCGTTACTTTTACTGGGTTGAGAATAACATGAAGCTGCTGCGGCCGCTTAGGTCTTCCATTGAAAACCCTGCACACGCGGCCTCTGGAGACATGAAACCATCATTTGGATGGTGTCGGATTCAGGGCCGTTGCGGAAACGACCTGACTTCGAAGCGCATGAACCCGACCCTTCCGCAATGCATTGGGCATCTTGCGCTTGCTCAGAGAATTGAAGCAAGAGTCCGCCTGGTGCACGGGTCGCGGCGGCCCTAGTGCTTTCCGATCATCTTCGCGGGGCCTGCAGAGGGGACGGGAAGATATGTGCTCTTGGCTACAAGAATGCACTAGGCCCAGACTTCGGCCGCCTGTGAAGGGCCCCCTTTCGAACAAGGCGTCTCTGGATCGAGCTTTCTGTTCGGCCTCCTGCTGCTCTCCTCGCAGCAGACAGCACCAGCGCGTGGCCGCGTCGTGACCAAAACCCCCCGTCTGTTAACGCGTGTGCCCAGACGGCGCCGGGGCAGCTCTGGATGCCGGGGAAATTGGGTGTATGCATGCGGGATGTGGAGTGACACAGGACGACGAAACCTTGCACGAAAAGTCGCAAGAACGTACCGTACATGCGGAGCCACTACTCAGACGACGTGCAATTGTCCGCTGAGCCACTCTGCTTCTTGCCGTGCTCGCTCTGCAGCTGGTCAAAGTGGGCCCGTCTCGCCTTGTCCATCTCCTGACGCGACATGAATTCTGCGCGAGCTTCGAGATTCAGGTTGGGGCTGGTCAGGGCTTGGCTGTGACTAAACTGCATGCGAACCGTGCCGTATTGACTCAGATACGCCTCTGTCTGATCAGCGCTTCAAATTTTTGCAACTTAAACGACTGCGTGAATCGGCTGAGTCAACTTGTACAGACCTCCCATGCCTCACCTCATCACTGTGACACGCCCACACCAATGACAGCATCAGGCTCATGGCCTCTTTGGTCATGTGCCCGGAGGAAAGGACACCTGTGCGTGGAGCTTGCAGGATACCATTCTCGAGCATGAGCAAAGCTATGGCTGAATCGGCAAGAAGTCTCCCATCTAATCGGGGCCTCATCCTGAAGCCTTTCAAACACTCTAGCTAGCTCACCAGCCGCTAGCACTTCCTTCGGATCTACCCGACGCGACTTTTTTTGGCCAACACCTCCTCCCCAGGCCTGATCCTGTCACGGACCCGGCTTCTGTTCGTGGCAGCTGTGCCTGTCGATGAATTTCAGATAGTTCCGCATCCTTGGCAGCGAAGGCCAAGGTCGCAGCAGTCCCTAAAAGCGCGATGGGAGTGTTTTGCGATTCTGCTTAGCAAACTCATTGGCAGATTCAGAACGAGCTGCTTGCGAATGTGCCCACCAGACCCACAAGGTAACCCAAAGGCTCTGCAAGACCACGCGTCTCCCTTCTTCATGAGGAAGGACTTGTTCTCTTCCTCCTCTTGAGCCTGCACATGGCGTCAGCGTGTCAAACCCTGGAGACGTCTGACAACACAAGAGCATCGACGTCTGACTTGCCTGCCGTTGCATGGCGGCTTGCTGCATTTGCTGCATTTGCTGCATCTGGGCAATGCGAAGAAGCACCTCAGCAATGTTCGCCCGACCCTCAGAGCTGTTGCGCTGCCCCTAGAAATTGCCCAAGAGTGCCCAAGGATGCTCGGAAATCCCTGCGTTAGTCCGTCTCGCGCTCCCCGCTCCTATCCCCTTCCCACTTCTTCTGACTTGCCTGGAAATCTTCGGCAGGAACTGCCCCTGCAGGAAGCCACAACGGTGCGGGCTGCTTGCAAACACTTCAGTGAGAGCCTGGGTAGCCGTCGGCCAAGGGTTGATGAGCAGGCCACATGTCGGCATCACCTGCCAAATACAATCTTGGCCACACGAGCTGAACGAGGAAGGAAGGGCTTCACGAGCTGTTCAAGGAGAACATCGCCACATGCTTTCGTGAACATCTTAACCCTGCATCCACAGCCACGGCGCACCGTCCGAAAGACCTGCATGGCGCATCAACTGCGATGTGTTCCTGGCAGCACACATACATGCAGAGACCAGACTTCACCCACGCAAAAACAGATCAAAGACTTCAGCTCTTGTTGCTCCGATCTTATTGGAAATGCGTTGGAGCCCAACTTATTGCGAAGGTTGGGATCTGATACTGACCTTCCACGTAGAGAACTTTTGCCTCAGGTGCCCAAACCCACATTCCTGGAGGCACATTCCCATGTGCTATATCCATGCCAACAGCATCCAGCAATAAACCTCCGAACACTTCTAGCACCTTACTGGTAGTGGTTGTAACGTTTAACTCCTGTCTCCCACGTTGCTTGCGATTTCAGGCTGGTCCAAAGTGTCGCAAGCTTCCATGAACACAGATGCTTTGGCCTCGACAGCTGATTCTCCAACCGGCGTTGCTGGTGGAGACCGTTCTGGATCATTGCCATCTGCCGCTTCAACTCTGCATTCTCCTGTTCCTGGGAGCGAAGGAAGAGGAACCGAATGGACGGTGGGTCCAATTATCGGTTAGCACGATCTCATGCAGTCGACGCAGGAACCTGGGATCCAGGATGCACACGCACGCCTGGGTGCGCGGAGTAACAGGAACCGTTTTGGGAGTAACGGAAACCGATTTCGCAGACGTGTGACATGAACGCGCTCGCGGAGTAACAGCAACCCGACGACAGGCATAAGAGGAATTACCACCGGAAACCATGGCAGGAGGCCTTTATGCTGGCAAAGTGGGGACAGAAAATAACCCCCACGGGCATGCAAAGCAGGACATCCTATCGCAACTCTAAACCCCACAGCGTACTACCAGTAACGCCTGTGTAAGTGTTGTCCATAATGCAAACCACCAAACCCTAAGCCCTAAACCCTAAAGCGTTAAGCCTTAAATCCGTAAACCCTAACTGCCGGATGACTTCGTTTCTTCAAATGCGCCTGGGATTTGTCATGTGTCGGAGACTGCTTTCGGGGATTTTTTTAGATTGCCGAGTCTTGCTGTCGGTTGCAAAATGTTGGGGCTGCAGGTAGACATGCTGGAATCGTAGGTCTGAATCCCTCTAAGTGGGGGGACCGGGAAGGCCTCGGGGCCTCATGCAAACAAAATACCTGTGTGTTTGCCGGCTGTCAGTTGTAACCAGACACCACAGAACGACAAGATGCCATGCGCTCAACATCTTCAGCAATGAACATGATATCTTCGACCTGACAGCGAGAGCTCACAACTGCAAGCCTTTGCAGCATGCGGAATACTCTCAAAGTCGGCACTGGGCTGCTGGTTCATTCCGTGCCTGCTGCGGAGGCCCTTTGGCTGAAACCTCAGTTGCTTGCGGTGCTGGAATTGAAGTCGGTCTTTGGAAGATTAGGCTGTTCTGGACGAGCAGCAAGCTGCTTGATGGCCTCTCTCAAAGCAGCGGTGAGGCGGCACTCACCTTCAGAGTTTTTCGCAGCTGGTCGCAGCTGGGTCAGAGGTGTCAGCATCGCCGCACTCGCGGCCGAGGTGCTGGAAGTACTCCGAGGACTCAGAGCCTCAGAAGCAGGAGATTGAGATTGCGTCGGTCGGTCCACTGCTTGTGATCGCTGCCCAAGCGGCTGGAGCCTCCGCTGAGTCGGCATCGATTGCAAGCCTTGCGGATGTGGAGACCCGGATGGCTCATGGGCTCATGGCTTCACAGCAACAAACGATGGACCTGACATTACTGCACTCTCTACGAGTTGTTTTCGCTGGTTCAAGTTCAAAGGCGCTTCGTGCTTTGAGATTGCGGCCAGGTGTCGAGTCGACACAGCTCATGACAGCAGACTCGGCACCGACTCGACCGCCGTTGTCCATCAGGCCCTCGCTCCAAAATTCGTCGACCATAAAGGAGCCCCTGCTTCTTGCATCCGAGCTGCCAGTCCAGGTTCAATGATACCCACGGGTCTCTGCTTGATGACGGCGGTCAAAAGCGACCCGTCGGTGATTCCGATCCTCTGGAATCGCTGAAATCTCCACGAAGAGTGGTCTGCCGCAAGCTATGTGCAAACGAGTGACTCGTCGATGACGGCATCTGTTTCCCTCAGATGAGCGATGCCACGTGACGGAGGAGCAGGAAACGACAAACAAGTCTGAAACCACCCGAGATTCCCTCTTCACGAAACCTCTTGCATTCACCATCAAGCCAAGCTACAACTCGTTCCCCTGAAACGAGAGTATCGGCAGTGAACCCGGAAATGGCAGGGCCTCTCCAAGTTCGTTTGCAGCAGCCCGAGCACTTTGGGCAACAGGCACAAGTATCACAAGTCCTAGTAGTGCATGTTCAATCTACTCCATGCTGCCTGACAGAAATAGAACACAGTGGCATGAAGTCTCCATCATAACACTGCAGGCCACAATGTGCTTAAGACCCAGCAACTCGCCTGGCTCACTTGCGCTGCCAAATGAAAAACCTCGCAAATCGGCCAAGCCGGGGCATCGACCGTAACGTTCAGCTTTGCATAAAACCTGCATTCAAAAATGCGGCCAAACGGCCGTGCTCTTCGAGGACACCGCAATCTCGATGGTGTTCTCTGGACTGGTCTGTACACGAACCTCAAAGCGATCAAACCCACCGACCATGGATGTGCGGATTGACCTGCTTCAGCTGGGCCGCCGTGATGCGCTGTTCACCAGCCCCTTCAATGACATCTTCCATCGGTGAGGACATTCCTGCAGTAACCAAACCCCTCCTTCAGAACCTGGCCTCCAAGATCCTCCGAGCAACTCTGAGCCTGCCAGAGCGGTCTCGCCTCGCTGCCCGAGCGTCTCCGCGAACCCAAGCACCGTAAGACCCCCCCCCCCTTTGATCCAGCTGGCCGCGGGTCACAGACATCTTCCAGGTGGACTCTCGAACCCTGAAGGCCCTGTCGTCGCACTCGGGTCGAGTTGAATGCAGCCTCCAGAGTCGCGGGTGTGGATTCGCATCGACCTCAGCCGTTCGGCCATCCTCAGGCTCCTCCCAAGTGCCGAAGAGGCAAGCATGTCTGAGGTCCTTACATAGTTGAAGGCATCTTTTAGGTTGGACACCTGGCGGAGACCAGGGGTGTTGAGTGGTCGACACTGCACAGGAGTCAGGGACAGGACAGGGCCTTCGTGAGGATGTCGCGCGTGTCTCTGAGACTCTTCGTCTCGAAATCCAGAAGCACCTCCCCCCAAACATGACGACGCCGCTTTGTGGAAATCCCAGAGGCCCAAGTCTTTTAAGGCAACACCACGCCGCCTGACGGCTGGTGACAGCCTGTACAATAAACATACGGTGTGGTGGCATCGGCCTCCTTCCGGGGATTCTCCGGGTTCTGTATGACCTGCACGAATACGAATTGTCGTTTCGGAGCCATTGTCAAACAGTGAAGTGAGTACACAAGAACCGGCAAACGAGCAGAGATGTTGAGTTTGAAGGCTATGACGAGTGCCTCGTCGATGAGCACACTTTGGATCTGGAGGTCTTTGAATGCACATATGTATGCGTTGGAGAGCACGGGCTCCTGGAGTGGGTTCAGTCTGCAAACGGAATGCGAACACCGACCTTGGGCACTAGGCTCTTGCGAAGAGACAGTCCTCGGGCTGAAGGCCCCGGACCTCGGGACTCAGCTTGCAGTACGAACACGTGACAGACCCCGACGCAGCACTTGTGGCTTCTGGCGGAAAAAACCAATGCATCACTGCGTGGGTGCCAATGTCAATGCTATGCAACCCTTCGAACTGGCCCGAAAGAACTTTTTAGGAATGTGAGGCAACCGAGGCTTGTGCTATGTACATCCGTGTTTTCTCCATAATGGCGAAGAGGTCTGGATTGTCGGCTGCCCATCGCATGTTCCAAACCTCATCGCCAGAAGCATCGAAGTTGTGCGAGTACATCGCTGGAGCATTCCGCAGCAGGGTGAGGCTTCAGCATCCTTGCGCTCGAAGTCCAGCTGCTTGCCAGGCCCATTGTCCTGTGTCTGGTGGACAGGTCCGGAAGAGCGAGCCAGCGAGCAAACTAGAGCGAGCGAGAGATGCTCGTCTTTTTGTCCGCTTCGCAGCAAGACGGGTGACTGGTACATCAACAGGCAAAAGCTTGGGCAAGCTTGAACACCATACATGCACTTGGAAGTTTATGGAATGATTCAGGAGAGCAACTCGCCCCAAAATGCCCTCATGATGGTGAGATTCGCTGGTTGCGAGTCAGGTCAGTACTCAGATCAATCATAGCTGGGGGTTCGGCCCCATTTCACGTTAAGCTCCAACACAAAGCAGCCTGTAAAACTCCTCAAGAGGAATTGCAGCTCTCATTGAGCAAAGGGATGATAAATCATGATCGATTCTTTAGATAAGTTCGATAAAACATCGAAATATAGTCCGTTGGTTCGTAGCCCCTTTCCCACCCACGGATAGCGCGAGAAACCCCTCACTGCACGGGAGTTTAGGCCGCCACTGGCATCACCTCGCATGTGCGGGGTCACGCTTTCCAACACGACGTCGCTACTTTGCTGTGCACTTCTCCAGTGCACTTCGGGCAGCTCTAGACACGTGTCAGAGGCCAAGCAACTTGAGGCATCTTGAGGCGCAGGCTGGGTTCGTCTTCAGCTGAATCAGAAGACTCCTGGCATTTCGTCTGACTGTGGCTCGGCGTGAGGACTATACCAAGTCCATAACACCTGAAAACGGAACAGGCATATAAAAAATCAACATCTCGACAAACCTGCATTGCTGTCACAGCAGCAGCAGCAGCAGCAGCAGCAGCAGCACTTTGATTTATCGACTGTCATCAAAGCACGGCGGCATGGCCTCAGGCGCGAGGTATCGCGGCTGTCCTGTGCAGAAGCGAAGGTGGGGCAGGTTGAACGACGTATGCGAAATTAGATTGCATTTAGATGGGAAAGGATCTGCCAGCGACTTACGAAAGCCTCGAAGGACTGTTGGCTTCATCTGCTTTGAACTGAACGGGCTGTGCGTGTGAACGTGCCTGTGAGGTGTGACGACAACGTTGAGTTTGCACTCTGAGCACTGGGTCAGCAGTTCAAGGGGCGATCAACCAAGCCAGGAAAATCGCAATCAGCAGGGCATCATGATCGTCTGCAGAGAAACAGAGTGTCGAAAACCTGCATTCAGCCTCTGCAGCCTTCGCATTGGTGTCGATGAGCTCACATACGCCTCAGCATCAGCTAGAACAAGACGTCCTGCAGCTCACTTGGGCCTCACTTATGCTGCATACTATACACACCAGAAGCTGCTATCGAAAATGGTTTAAGGCTTAGGCTTGAGGGCTGCGTGTGCGATCATTGCTCAATTAAAAAAGGTGGGCACGACTCAAAAAAATAGCAACAGTGCTTATGTTTTCGAGCATGATTCAAGTTTTCTGATGGAAGGGAATAACAGCTGAGAGCTCAGGGTGGCTATTTTTAGCGAAAACATTTTATTGATGGAAGCCAGCAAAAACCGAGCAATCGCCTTGCTTGTCCTGCCAACGAAATTTGTATTTGTTTGATAGAAAAAAGAGTTGGGTGTGTAGCTTTCACCACGACTAACTCAGTCCGGCTGCGTTCCCACGGGTTGGCTCCGGGCTTGAGTGCCTTGCATGCGGCTGGAGATTCTGTCATGTGTGAGCTCTTGAAGGAGGCAGGACAGCAGCTGAAACTCGCAACCCCGCTGTGACCCGCCTCCTCCCTTGCCTTCTCTGAGGTCTCCTCGTTGGTTCGATTCGAAGCCTTCGGCAAGGAGCTACTACGAGCTGCATCCTTCAGCAAGTCGTGCCCCTGCACGGACGTCTTGGGCGAGCACCATTCGTGTCTTCCTGGTCGACACACGCTCCTGCAGATCATTCGATCCAACCGTACCCGGTACAACATCAAGAAATACGACATCAGCTGTGGGACAGTTGTGGTGAAGGTGACAATCGGAAAACTCCAACGTCCAGCGCTTCCTCGTTCCACTTCTGCAGCTCGGCCGTGGCATTACCACGGCGCTGCTCCTTCTCCTGCGCCTGGTATTCGGGACATGTATGTAGCACGACACGACGCCTTTGCAACCGTACTAAGACACGTAGGCATGAAGCTCATCAGGCATCCACTAGCATGCTGGGCTGCTAGGCGAAGCGAGGCGGACCTCCTTGCGCGCCATCTCTTCCAGATCCTTCTCGTGTTTCTCCTTGGCAGAACGACAACGAAACCAAGTCTTCTCACTCTGGGCCTCTGCAGGTCTGCGAACGCTCTCTCGTCCTCCCACTCTCGGAGCGCGTTCATCTCCGGGATAAGTGGAGTGGCACCCACCGGATCCTCTACAACTCATGGATCTGCCAAGCAATTCTCAAGCCTACAGAATCCCGAACGCTGCAAAGGAAGGGATTCAAACTTTGCCTTGTCTTCAAGTAGCGATGCTCATGTTCACACGAAGGCACACGGGCCTTCACGGGAACGCCCTGAAATGGGTCCTGTTCACACCGAAAAGCCATCAGAAAACTGGTGTGTCGTTGATCGTTGATCGGACTTTCCTGCAATTACCGACTCTCCTCACCTCATACGACACACGGCTCTCTCCTGGTACGGTGCAGCAGGTGCCGGAGCAGACCCCATCATGTCCATTGGCGCGGCCTCTCCCGACAGCGCATCTCCACAGAAAGCTGGTAGATGCAAGACTTGATGCCAACCTCTGCACCCCCGACGTGTGGCATTGGGTCGACGGGCGCCTGGACAGCAGATGACAACAGACCAGCCCGAAGCACGAGTTGCAATACCCACCGCAGTGCAAGCCTCAGCCATGGGAGGGGGTGCTGCCTGCAGGATGAGACATACGGTGAACAAGCTGCTACAACTGCTACACTTCACATCTGGGATGGCTCGCGCCTCCGTGAATCCGAGAAGGTTGCTGCCATCGGCGCCCTGCGCTGTTGCACGTGTCCAAGCACTAAAGTTGAAGCAGCTGAGCAAACAGCAAACGAACAGAGAGGCGATAGCAACAACAGCGACGACGACGAACGGCACGCTAGGACTAGGACACTAGGAGATACCAGGACGAACCAGAACCAGAACCGGCATCTACGCCGCACCAGAACCTGCACCAGCAACAGAAAGTCACCAACGAAAGAACACCGCTTTCAAATAGCAGCAATCAAGATCTGAAAGACCGAAGATGCACGACATGAAGAAGCAGAAGCAATTCCAGCTGTCTTGGATGGCATGGAGCTTGCCTTCAACTTCCTCTGCCAGCTGCGCAGAATTTTAAATGTGTGTAAAACACACAACATCACGGACCTAGGTTTGCAACACGACCAATTGCAAGCTACATTTGGAGGACCGGCATTCCATTCCACGAGCTGCAAACCTGCTGCTTTGGCGAATGGTCGAGTGCCCTGGGCCTCCTAAAGTGACTTAGAATTGGAACTGTGCAGCGCACCGTTGCGGCCGGCCTCCATCTTTCTGAAGCTGAAGGTCTCACAGCTACGGCCAGACACCAAATCGCTTCGAGCCACAGAAGCATGTGCAGGAGGTGTGTGCATTCCAGGCAGCTTGCTGTCTGAAGCCTCTACAGTAAACCCCAAAAAGTTGGAAACCGGATTAAGGACGATTAGTGCTAGGATTCCCTATACATTACTATTAAGATTGACGCTATTTCAGATTCCAACTTTTTGGCTTCTACTGTATAGCCACGAGACACTGCAGGCGGTCCTGCGAATTGGTCTCTGCTTGTTGGCTGAAGAAGCCATGATTGACAATCTGCACAAGGCGGGCAGACATCTTGCATGCAAGCATACACTCAGGGTCCGACTGACGGCTATCAGCGAACTCAATTCCAAGCTACGACCACGCTACGGCCGAGGGTGCAGGCAGCCCACCTCGACGTCGAACAGCAAGAGCACCTTATATCACGCCGTTTCCGTCGCAGATTCTGCTACGGCACTACATTGTAGAGAAAATGACTTCAGGCTGTGGGCGCTTACCGGAGCAGCATTAAGACCCCTGCACCATTGATGTCGATGACTGACATCCTTGTGCTGTCGCAGTTGGCAGCTATCACCTCCACGAAGATGCATAGCAAATCCAAAACATGGAATCTCATGACGTAAAGCCCCGCCTGGGGCCGACATCGGATCGTGAAGCGTGCTTCCAACGACAGGTGGGGCCTTGCTGTGGAGATGCTCGCCAGCGGGCTTCAGGGACCAAGAATGCTAATGGAAAGAGCCTCACTAAGATGTCCTGAATGTTCAGTGCAGTTCTGGCGACAAGAACACGACACAACCGCACCACGACTGTTATCAGATACTTCTCATGCCAGCCCACAATGAACAAAGAGGTCCCAACAGGGCATAGCGATGCACGACACCGCTTTCGCGTGCCACCAGCAAGCATTGCTCTGTGGCACAGATGCAGGCAATTGGGTCCTGCGATTGACGACCATGCGTGCAACTCACATGAAGAAGGCTGTGCTCCTGCGTAGTCATCGAAGGCGGCACGAAACTTTCCTGCACGCAGAATACAGATGCCATGCTGCGTTGTAGCGCTTGTTCATATCTTGTTGTAGTGGACATAGCTCTTGTAGCGAGTCACTCACCTATTTTCTCTGGCCTTGTCATGCGTCCCACTACCCGGTGCGAAGGACTCGTCGATGTGAAACCTGCCAGGCACCGATACTATGGCATGAAGCAAAGGAACGAAGGCGGAGGCGGAGGTAATGCTGGGCTCAACAGCATCCGCATGCCGCCACTGTCGTTCCCACACGACTCTGGACCACAGCATCAGTCCATGCAGACCTTTCAGCATGCGTTAAAAGCGTGGTGGAGGCACATCATCTCCGCCCTCTTCCTGGCAAAACTCCAGTGATGCATTGCATTTGGGATCTACAATGTGTACAAGCGAACACACTAACATGGTTCCCGTTAAGCAGGATGGGAAGGACTGCTTGATGCCCATTCCAGCAGCCGAAGCCAGGTCGCCCTGTGCTCAAGCGGCTACATGTGCGAAGAGTCGGAATTCTCTTCCCCGTGCCATGCAGTCATCAAAGAGATGCTCCGAGAACCCCGCCTGTGCCTGCCGCGAAACACTAGTTCGGTAGCTCCAGATATACACAACGTCCTGCGAGCGAAATGCACCGGAATAGGAAAGAGTCGCTGTGCCGACCAGCGGCTCGTACCAAACTCAAGTGGGCAAATGTTTCAAGCGTTGCATCCCCAGCTTGTCCTCCGAGGTTACGATGACGTGGGAGTTCGTCATGGCAACATGGACAGGGTCAAGCTGCATATACCTCGCAGAATACTCGTGGGCATGTCAGCTTTCCGTCAAATCGGACAATAACCCTTCATGCGCAGGCTTCTGACACTTTGTCAGCCTTCAGTTTCTTAGCAGCACGGTCTCGTAAACGCCGAGAGGGCCACTAGAGAACACCAGGAGCAGTAATCATGCCGAGAGGCTTGGAGTCTACTGGACTGCCGATGTCATTGCAGACAATGACCTGGAGCATCAAGATAAGGTTTTTCACAAAGCTCTATGTGCCTCTGACCGACCAGATGTCCACCACTGATCTTGTGAACCATAAAGGACACTGTATCACGTATCACATGGCGATGCTTTTCCAACATCTGGTCTTCGGACAATCTTGCCCTGTGCAGCCTGCAAATCCTTGCGCCAATTACAACATGAGACTTCTGTCCAGGAACCGGGACAGTGAGGGAGAAAAAGAGTGAAAGAGAGAGAGACATAGATTCTGCAGGACAAAGCTTTGCTGCAGATGCGAAAAGCAAGACTCTTTACAAGAGCTTGCCGTCTTAGCTGTTTGCAGCCTTCACTGGACAACCCTTCAGCCCGCGGCAATGTGCTGGCCGCTGGCATCATCTGCCTGCACATCTCAAGAAGAGGACCGAACAAGATCGACGGTTGCCTCTTCGGATTCAGCCATTGGCAACGCCCTCGGCACTTCGAAGACTCTGATAATCGACTTTACCAGCAACGGCCACTCTTCTCTCGCAAGCGGCAAGCGAAGTTCCGTTCCACACTTGGCCAAAAGACACGGATGAGTTCCCCAGGCCTCACCACCCTAAAGCCTTGCGTTCTGGTTCGCAGTTTGGGGGGGGACTCCATGACCCTAGTCAGAAGAGCTGTACCGAGTCGTCAGAGTGATCCGATCCGCTGAACTGAAACAGATCACCCCTGCCGGCCTTGGTGACCAGGACACAGTACTCCTCCGAAGATCTGATGTGCCTCACAGGGGCCGGCAGTTGCAGAGCTGCGACACGCCACGAGCACAGAGCCATTGGTCAACAACCCCGGTGAGCCAAGGTGCGTGACATGCTTGATGTACTTGGTGTATTTCTCCTTAAGAAATCTTGGCGATTCTGGATGTGACATGCCCGCAGTTCTGAATACGTGATCCGATATTTTCGCAGGCTGCTCTCGCCGTTTACTCATGGCAAGGCTCATCGCTATGGGTGTCCCAGAACACGACCACGTGCTCGTTGCGCTCTTTTCGCAACACCTGCAAGCAAGAGACATTCATACTCACAGCTCGGCCGCACTCACTTGTCTTAAGGCCACGGCCGCGTAGACCAGCGTTCGCGAGAAATATCCCCAAAGATAGTCCGGCCTGCTCTCGATGCAACGAGTCCTTCTCTGGCAACCCCCTCCAAAAGCGGCTCAGCTCCCCTCTCATACTCCCTTAGTTAGCCCCATGCTCTGCCTGATGTTGGCGAAGAAGATGTGGGAATCAACCGCCAACGCTAATCGAAGGCCGGAACCTTGCGAGGCAACAAGCGTTCTGCCGAACGCCCCGAAAAAAGCGACAGGATGCACTCAAGGCCCCGTGTGGGCCGGGCTTGTGAGCTGCTTTGCAGGATCACTGACCCGATTCAGCTTGCGCTTCAAATCATTACCCAACAGTTGCAAGATGGGCCAAGTTCCTCTACATGGGCACAGGATGGCACAGGTGCCACCTGCGGAAGTTTCCTTCTGCGCTGAGTGCCCGAGCCCTCCCAAGAGATCGAGCGCAGGTTCTGCCCAGGAACTCTCCTCGGTGCAAGAAACTACGTTAGCGCGAGCAAGTCTCTCCGGGTCGCACCACAGCCTGCTTTGTGCAAGCAAGCAACAGGGATCTGAGATGCTGCCCGCTCGGAGCATAAAACTGAACGATGCCCACCTGAGACTCAAGCCATGTGGTCTCTTACCAGTCCAGTTGGTCGACTGCTTTCAATTTTTAAGTCGGCCCACCTCCAAGTGCAACCCACTACAACGCATCAGCGGAGAAGGTAGTTCACACGCAAAGACGGAGCATCCAGTGAGCTTCTCTGCTTGTAAATCTGTGTGTGTGTGTGTGTGTGGGCTGGCCTCGCGGTCGGCAGCGGCTGCTCCTTGGCTCTGCACGCCTGCGATGGCAACCTTGGCCAAGCAAGAGTCCAAGGAGTATTGCTCGTCTGCGCTTTCGTGCAGCAAATGCTTCCGTGGCCTTCCGCTTGCAACAAACTCAGTGCATGGCTACCGAGCCGTTCGGATCCCACTTGAGACCAGTGCATCGCCTTAGTACAACAGAACAACTTCAAGGACACCAAAGTGTACCAAGATGGACCAGGGCTCTTCTGATCTTCTTTCTGTCGAGGCGCAACTGCGTATCCAAAAGCACGGGCTTGTCATCGGCATCACCTTAGATGCACCATCGCGACGCGACACGTACTCTGCTGGATGCTTTTTACTTGTAGATGCGGTTGCGCCGCTTCTCATGATCTGGACGCGGCCGTTCTCGAAGCCCAAACAAAGAGTTGGCGTCTGCAAAAAACATCCAGCCAAGACTCAGCTACGAGTAGCTCTGACAACGGAACACAGGCGTGCGCCTGATTCTCTGGGCCATTGGGCCCCGCAAACCTGGAGGCGCATGAGATTCGAGCAATGGCTCAGTGGATTGCTGCCGTGCAGTCGAGGTTCCAGTCAATGCCGGCAATCGCTACGGTGCCCTCGGTGCCACTGTCTAGGCCTGGCAGACAACAGGGTGAATGTGAGCTGTAACATGCCTGCTGGCAAGATGTGATTTTTGGGAGCTCTGCACATTGCTTCATGTTGCTTCCTACTAGCTGACATGCGTCCTCTGCAAGAGTGCCGGGATGACAGTAGATTGGCACCTTGTGGGAGTAGATTCCTTCATTGTCGTAGACATGCACCTGGACAAAGCCACCTCTCCACGAAAAAAGGAATTTCCCGGTCAAAGGCTTTGGCCTCGCCGTTCAGAGTGCAGAAGAGGATGTTCTTGCCATCCGGCGACCACTCTACAAAGGCCAGCTGTGTCTTGACCTCTGTGCCAAGCACTCACAACAGTAGAAACTTCCAGGATTGCACACTGTCTGGGCACATCAGATCCATCCCCCCTCACTCTCCCCCGGTAGAAAACGGAGGGGCGGACTTCCTTACCCCACAGCCTGGCAGTGTTACAACCAACCACGAGAAAGACGCAGTTTGCAAGAACAACGCCGACGGATATCGGATACTGCATCGCAGCGTCCGGCCTTTGCCCATCCACCGTGCCGACTATAACTGCGCCATCCTCGTAGATGATGCAGATCCTTAGCAGCAGCTGTTGCCGGCCAACATCCGAGTCTTTCGAGCTGCCTCACACTGCAATTGGACTTCGAGGAGAACACAGCAATGCCCCCGAAAACCAGGCCCGGCACTTCTGGCAGTCGGCACCTTAGGGCTCACGGCCACAAAAAGTCCTACTCCTTCCCCCAGCTCTGATGCCTGCACTGCTCAAACTACAATGAGGGGCTGCTGTGGACTTGTGTGCGATACACGAAGCAATCTGTGATTATCAGAAGCACTGGTCTTAGATGTGCTGAACGTCGCATCGGCTGCTCGAGTAACTCGGGTCCCCACTCCACTTCATGTCTCGAACTACACTTCGGTTTCGATTGTTGATCATTTCCTCACACGTGCAAGATTGAATGGACAAGCAGAGCAGAAGTTCGACGAATGTTGAAGCTCGAGCGTTGCACGGTAGAACGATGTTGCAACAGGTCCTCGAACCAAATTCCTCTATGGAGCATCCACACAATGATGAGACCGTTCCTGCCAGGCCCAGCAGATGCATCTCCAGTCTCCAGGGGCCACAGTCTATCCCGACTACAAGCCGGGTTCGTGGCTGGTCACTGGTTGTCAGCTTCCGGAAATTTTCATTCCAGGTGATGACCATTATGGTACCTCGGGGCTGTCCGGCGAGCGTCTTGATTGAATCAACAATTGACTGCTTGCCGAAGTGTAACGCTAGCCGTTAGACCTCCTAGACCTTGGGCAAACCACAATGAACCATCTCTACGATGCAGCATCCCATGCAGGAGCCTTGGTGGCCCTCCAGCGTCTGATTCATGGACAGGTTGCCTGAAGGCCAGCTTGAAGCGGTGAATCGGGCAGCATTGACTTTACCCGCATCTCTGCGGAAAGAGGCGCCCTCCTGAGGTCCCGGCTCTGCCCGGCCGCAGCTTTCGCGGCCCCATCGGAGGCAGATTCGAGCTTCAAGACCTGTACGCAGACCCTTTCTCTTCAGAGCAGAACCGGGCAAACAGACCTCCGGAGCTTCCCTCTTGCAGTCTTACACGCAGTCTGCATAGCTGCTCAGCAAACGCTGGATTTCAACCCCACACCCTCGGCCTTAAGCAGGCCGCTCTCGCCTGACGTGGACGGGGCAGCCGGGCAGCACAAACTAAAGACTGAAAGACTGGCTCCCTTGTCCAGGAACTGAAGCCTGTCCAAATATGCCGTTCAAACCATTTCAAACTCTTTTCGGCCCACAGTCGCGAAACGGCTGACACGGGCCCATCCTAGCAGCTCAACCTCTAACAGTCTGCCACTGTGCCCTGCAAAGCTGGTCGCAGGAGGCCGGCCTCCGCAAGCAATCCATCCCTGCGCTGAGTTCCAAGACACCACCTGCAGACCGACCGCAAATTCAGCAATACTGGATGTCGTGGCGATGTTCCAGGTTCAGCACATTCGACATCCTACGCTACGTTGAATGCAGGCAAAACGAGACACAAAGCCTGCAACGCCAGTTGGTGTGGTATCGCAATCTTCTTGCTCAAATAGACCTCATTTTCTTGGAGGTTCCTCAACTTTACTCTGACGGGGCTTCTTGCGGTGAAGGCCGTGCTCGCAGGTGCTTTGACAGCCCGCAGGAGACAACCCGAGGTCGCGACGAACATCGTCTACGTGCAACGCAAATTAAAGCCTTGCGGCAAGGCGAGAGGGTCAAGAGATGTCAAGAGTCAAGGCCGAACACCGAGGGAAGCTTCAAGGGTCTCGCACTCGGTGCCAGGCACGGACCATACGCAGGGGTTGCGCCTGGCAGGGCCAACTCTTCCGCCGGAGCGGTTGGAACAGTTGGAACAGTCTGCTGACATGAGCCTCCTGAGGTGGCTGCAGGGCTCTGAGGTACAACGAAACTACCGCCAGTAGAACAGAGCTGTGTGGACTGGGAGTGTAGCGGGAACTTGAAAGGGCTGACACCCGCCCAAAGCTGAAAAGCTAAGTCTGCTCCAAGATCTCAGAAACACCTTGAAACAGGGCATGAGAAACGGTTTCGAGTTCGAGGAGTCAAGTGATGTTTGTCGCCACTCTTGTTGTGGCTACCCTGGCTTCTCATTTCCTGAACCAAGCTGCGCAGCACGTGGACGTCGTGTTCATCTGGCTCAAGAATGCAGGGAACTGAAGCTTCACTAAGTCATGCGTCGAACTTTTCTCCACTACTACACCGCCAAGATCGTCCAGATAGAGCAATTGCAGGCTCTGACCTTGAGGCAACGGCATTCGGGCTGGAGCAAGAACCTCGCCACGGCGGCTGCGCTTCAACATGCTCTGGACTCTGGACAAAGTGGACAGAGACCGCGAAGAGGACTCAAGAACCACCAAGCCGCCTGCGCCAGAGCGAGGGCTGCAAAGATCCAGCGCCTGGAGCCCTGCACGAAGCTAAAGCCAAGCAGGAGGGTGCAGTCGCCTGCATACGGAAAGCATTCAATGTTTAAAGTCCCTGTTACATCATGCGCTGCATCCGCAGCAGAATCAAAGAAGCCGCGGCTGAAACGGGACAAAGCCACATGAAGCTCTTGGCAAAGCTATCAAACTGCCTAGTGAACTGCTGTGCCGCGGCTGTGCCGCGGCTGATGCTGTGCCTGCTGCAAGCCGCAGCTCACCGATCAGCTCGACGGCGAGTTGGAGCTGGGACGCCTCGAAACATCAGACTTCAAAAAGGGAGAGCTTGTGTGAAACTAGCGCCGAAATTGCACACCATGCGATCAAGAGGGAAACTCCAGTAGAACACGATCGTTCGCCCTCCTTGCGAAGCTCTTAGGCATCCTCCGCAAGGTGCCTCGAGTAGGAGAACGAGCCTTTTCTCGCCATCCCCGGCGTGCATGCGGAGCCACCGGACTGCCAGGTCCTGCTCTGAGCAACATCCGCCCCGGCCGGTCTTTTGACCCTTCGGCCTGCCAGCGCTTGCGCCAAGCGATGGGGCCGCAGTCCTGCAGCCCGGGCACAGCCCCATCCGGGAAGCAGAGCTTGGAACTGAAACAAGTGTAGTCCTCTAGCAGGGCCAGTACACCTACAGCAAGGGACAGGGTGCATGTGGCCAGCATGGTGGACTGTATGCAGATGAAGCAAGAGACTTGGCTTGACACAAGCACTCGGTCAGCTAAGCGAGGAACTCGTTCCTTGTAACATTTCGTCTGTTGCAGCAGAGCACTCCACGGCCTCTCGGAAATCTCTGCAATTCGTGTAACGATCCATGCAGTGGCCTGCCTCGTGCTGTCGTCGCTCAAGGTCGTTCAGCACGACGGGATCATCACATACACAACCTGATCTTGCCCAAGCCCCTTGTCCACCGATATGAACAATGATGTGCTATACTCCTACACAAAAAATATCTATACATACATACATACATACATACATACATACATACATACATACATGCATGCATGCATACATGCATACATACATGCATGCCTACATGCATACATACATACA